TTTTGCTAGGATATTTTCTTTCCTTCTTTCTTTAGCCTGCGCATTTTGGTTGGATAGGCAGTGATATTCAGAATGCTCAAAGATCAGAACACAGGTTTTGCTTCTGTTTCTGCTAGGCCATATAGAGATGGATTAGTTCTTAATGCAAGCGATATTGAAAGAAGTAAGTGTTGTGTACGATCGTCTAATGTTTTCTAAGTCCTAGCTCGTAGCACGGTTCCAGTTCTCGACTAGTAGTGGACTATTTCCACAACTTTTCATTGAATCAATAATCCATCTTGCACGCGATAACTCATCTCCATATTGTTGTCTGATAGAACTCAAGAGTTGAAGCTGAGGAAGATAATGATGGTGAAGAAGAAGATGATGAAGAGTGCATGGAATCTGGTCAGCATTGATTTATCATGGGATCCTAGCTCAAAGTGCATGAAGATCCCATGATGACCAGATTACATAAGTTAATCTGGACATAAGTTTATCATTATTTTACACTTTTAGTTCTTGGTCAGCATTGATTTGTTCTCTCCATCAAAAGAACTAATTACTCAATTAAAAGAGAAGTGAAACAGAGCCGTTGTCAATCTTTTTAACAATGTTCAGATTCATTTAATTGGTTTCCCTGTGTTTTATTGAACACTACAATATGATTTATGGTAAACGGGTACAGAGCCTACTTTCTACAATTAGTACAGAACACTGCTAGTTGCTCTTAATAATAGTTAAATTTGTCAGAACATTGTATCTTGTTTACACTGCTAGCTGCTTATTGCTTAATAGTAATAGTTAAATTTGGCATTACAGAACACTCCCATTGGCACATCCATAGTACAGAACAGAGCATAATACATCGCTAGTTGCTTTTAAAGTTGCTATTTCTGAATCCTGTCTCTAGGCCAATATAGTACATTGTATCTTTATCAAGATCTTGACTAACTATCCCTAAAAAAAGATCTTGACTAACTATATTTCAATATGGCAGCACGCGTAATTTTTCCATTCTACCCAGCCATGAAGAAGGCGCCCACCCATGAGCTATTAATCAGTAAGTATGAGGAAAATCCTAGTATTTATAATCTGTACGTACAGATTAATAAGCAGTGTACATATATTTAGTTATCATGCAGATGCTGGTTATGCCTTCATAAATTGCAAAAGAAATGTGTAACCTGGTTCTACGTTTGAGATACTAATTCTAAATTTCCGATATATTTTTCCTTGTATGGCCTGAACAGTAAAGAAAATATTGGTCGTTCGCACAACTCATTGTTATTTCTCTTATACCTATGACACTATTCCCTACGGACGTTTATTTTTTTTGGAAACAAGTGTTCGAATAATGGCTGCTGGGACCTATGCACAGTAACTTAAGTATGTCCCTAGGAACACTAAATGCTCAGCAATCGTACACAGGGCTTCTATGCCACATCCATGGCCACTGCTGGGAGTCGATTGGTGGTCTTCATGTTTCGAAATGCTAATTTTATAGATTAGATAAGTGTATTCCTCATTTTGTGCTCTTGTGTGCGCATAGTGCAGATATGAATTCTGTCTCTATTCAATTTCATAAATTAATTGAACATTCTAATAATTGAGACTTCTTTAGCTTCTGTAGGAAGCAAACATAAGGAAATGAACCATGAAGCCGGCGACCCGCGTCAAATGGATGTTTTAGCTTTCATTCTGTACAACTGATGTCTCATACTTGATTCTTTTTGTTGTCCTTCTGTAAGCCTGATGTATGGTGTCTTGTCTTGGTGCTTAGAATAGAATGAACTGTATGTATGTGACAATTAGTTAATGGAATAAAAATGGTTTGGTGCACCTGATGTGAACCTGATGTATTATGTCTTGTGATTATGCTTAGAACACATGAACTATATGTATGTGACAATCAATACATATGCTAATTAAAGTTGTGGTTGGCTAAACAAAATGTTGACGAATTATTGGTCGGGAAAAGAAAACACCATCGGATTGTTGGTCGGCAAAACAAACCCATTCAAACAGTCGGTCGGGAAAGGCTACCACAAGGCCCAACAAAATGTTGGTCGGGAAAGAATAACCATCTGATAGTCGGCCGGGAAAGGCCCTTGGTTACCCTAACGGACTGTTGGTCGGGAAAGGCCCATGGCAGGCCCAACAAACTGTTGGTCGGGAAAAATACCCCTTAGACATCAAGCAGTCGGTCGGGAAAGATATGTCGGTCGGGAAAAGGCTTTTCCGTCTGGACTTTCCCCAACAGACAACATCGGTCGGCAATAGTCTTTCCCAACCGACTGTCTGTCGGCGCACATTGTTTTTCCGACCAACTTGTGTGTCGAGGATGTAGTGCTGTGGTGTAGTGTAATTTGTGTGGTGTTGGCTAGAGACAACAGCTTCGAGCGTAGGCGTGGTGCCATGCAGATTGTCATGGCACGACGGCAACTGGGGCCTCGGCGATGTCATGGCTAGTGGCGGCGGCGCGGAGGTTGCGTGTAGGCTATAGGTGTCGCATGTCCGGCCGGGAGGCAGAGGAGGATGGATGGGCGGTGGCCTTCGGTCAATTGCCCTGTCTGACGACAGCGGTGGGCCTTCGGCCTGCGTTCGGGAGGCCGTGCTGGGGCAAGGCGGGTCGGGTGGCATGGTTGTCCTGTGGTGGCTACATCGACGTGGTGGTCGTGGTCTTGCAGCCGTTGCAGGGGACGGTGGCGGCCTCCGTTCTATTGGGTCCGAGTATGCGGCGTGTGGAGTTAGTATGTGCTGGCGGTGTCTACTGCATGCCCGGAGGTGGTGGCTCTAACCTAGGGCTCACGCTTAGGTGGGCCATGTCTGGGCCCAAGGTGGGTCAGGGCAATCGCTTCGGGTCGGTAAGGTTCTCCCCGCCTAGCCCCTTCCCAATGGTGCGTCTATCATCACTGGAGGGCATGTGGAGGTGTGTCTTTGGCGGATCTGCTTTTGGTGGATTTGTTCGGATCTAGTTGTAGTTCGTCCATGGTCCGTGTGTCTTCAGATTGTATCCTTCCTATCTACGTTACTCTTCAATGGTGGTTGTTGTTGTTCTGGTGCGCTGGTCCTATGTGGCCTTTGCACGACGACTTACCGACTATCTACTACAACAAGTTTTGCTTGGTTCTGACGAGGGAGCGGCGACGACACGGGCACGATTTCAGCTCGCTTTTGTGATTGTAGTTGTGGTCTATGGATCTGAATATAATTTTTATTATTTGTTGTGTTGGTGGTTATAATTGAAAATGAATGGATTAAATGTTTTCTCGCAAAAGTAATTATTATTGAAGAACATGAAGGCAGGCCGCATCCAAGGTGGGCCAGGACTATCGCTCCAGGTACGTGTGGTTCTCCCTGCCTAGCCTCGTACCGATGATGCGTCTAGCATCATTGATGAGTGTGTGGAGGTGTGTCTCTTGTGAATCTGTCTTTGATGGATTTGCTTGGATCTGGTCGTAGTTCGTCTATGTTCACGTGTCTTCAGATTGGATCCTTTCGATCTACGCTACTCTTGAAGGGCGGTGGTTGTTGTACTGCTGCACTGGTCTTATGGGCCTTAGCACAACGACTTATAGTCTGACTGTCTACGACACGTTCGACGGCGGCGGCGCGCCTTCGGCTCGCTTAAGCGATTGTAGTCGTCGTTGGATGATCTACGGATATGAATGTAATTTTAATTATTTCTAGTGTTCGTTGCATCGATATAATTGAAAATGAATATATTAGAAGTTTTCTCGAAAGTAATAATAATTATTGAAGAACATCAAGGCAGGCCGCATGCAATTTTCTTCGTTGGGTGCCAAAATGTAAGCATGAAAGCATCCCCAGTTGTTGGCACGCGATGGCTCTCCTTGACCAAACGGAGACCCCAAGGAAACAAGTGCTTCTCTTCTGTCCCCACCCCACTCGACTAATAATCAAAAAATTCCCACCCAATGCGCATCGGTCCATCGATTCCCTCATGCTGATTGTCAGTGTCATCCACAAAAATTAATCCTAGTAGTACTACTTCTTCCCGGCTTCACCAAAAATATTCTATCGCGGTCACGGCGACCAAAAGAAGCGCGACGACGACGACGAGCCCGGCCCACCCCAAGATGCTTCCTCCTCCTTCCGCAGTCTCCAACTCCCCACCTCTTTCCTACCAAACTCCCACCCTCGCATGTCCCCCCTCCTCCTCTATATATTCATGCCCGCGCGCCTCCTCCCACCCACGACCACTTCTCTACCAAGCTGCCCATCTAGCTTCCCGGTCTTCTTCTTCTTCGACTTCTTTCATTCTTGAGCTACTGCGAATTTAAGAAAGACATGGACGAGCAGTGGATGATGGGGCAGACTTCCCTCAGCCTCGGCCTCAACGTCGGCCGGCCGACGGCGCGGCGGGGTGCCCCTCCGGTGACCAAGATCCTCGTGGAGGAGGACTTCATGTCCTCCAAGAAGAATCACGAGGTCGAGGCGCTGGAGGCCGAGCTCCGGCGCGTGGGCGAGGAGAACAGGAGGCTCAGCGACATGCTCCGCGCGCTGGTGGCCAAGTACTCCGACCTTCAGGGCAGGGTCAGCGGCATGATGGCGGCGGCGGCCGCGGCCAACAACCGCCAGTCACCCACGACGTCTGAGGGCGGCTCCGCGGCCTCGCCGTCCAGGAAGCGCGCTCGCAGCGACAGTCCCGACACCGCAGTCCAGGAAGCGTACCCTGCCAGCGGCGGCTTCGCCGTCAGCGTCAACGTCGGCCCCGACCAGGCGGAGTGCACGTCCGTCCACGAGCCGGGCAACAGCAAGCGCGTCCGCGCCGACGAGTGCAAGGCCAGCCGGGTCTCCAAGCTCTACGTCCACGCCGACCCCGCCGACCTCAGCCTCGTAAGTAACGAACACCCAGCAACGTCCGTCCATCTTCTTCCTCGTGATCATCGATTGCGACGAAAGTTTCTTGCCGTCCATTAACTAATCAATATGCGATTGATTTTGACGAGCAGGTGGTGAAGGATGGGTACCAATGGCGAAAGTACGGCCAGAAGGTGACCAAGGACAACCCATGCCCGAGGGCCTACTTCCGGTGCTCGTTCGCGCCGTCGTGCCAGGTGAAGAAGAAGGTGCAGCGCAGCGCCGAGGACAAGACCGTCCTGGTGGCCACGTACGAGGGCGAGCACAACCACGCACAGCCGCCGAAGATGCAAGGCTCTGGCGGCCGGAAGTCCGCCGACGCAGCCGCCGTCCGTGCATCGCCAGCGCCGCCGCTCGCCCAGCAACAGCCGAGGCAGCAATCGAGGACGGAGGCGGGATCGGCCGCGGACAGGAAGAACCTGGCGGAGCAGATGGCAGCGACGCTGACGAGGGACCCCGGGTTCAAGGCGGCGCTCGTCTCCGCACTCTCCGGCCGTATCCTCGAGCTCTCGCCGTCCGATAGTTGATCAAGCGAGCGGCGTCGTTTTCGTTTTGGTCTCCCTTTAATTAGCATTTTGTAGCTGAAGATTTTAGATCATGTACGCGGTGATGGTCATTAATTTTGAATTGCTCGCATATGCAGAGATTAATTGTATATACGTACTTCATTAGCTCTACGGCAAAACATACTGAATTTGTACAACACTCTGGAGTGGATGCAGCAAAGATATATTCCTTTGTCCCAAAACAAGTGTCCATGATTTAGTACAACTTTTATTAGTTCATAGATAAAAAAGTACAGCAACGTGTTTAGAGAAGGTGCTTACATAATATGCTTGTTTTTCTAAACACTGGTGCTTATATTTCTAAAAGGTAGACGCATAATTAGGCATCGGTCCAGTAGAGATAAGACCAATGATTTAAGAAAAAAAAGTTGATTTATTTTACTCCCTTCGTTCACTTTTGTAAGACGTTTAAGACAATTAAAATTAAACTATTTTGGATTAAATGTCTAAAACATTTTACAAAAGTGAACAGAGAAAGTATAAAGCACTTTCCTAAGAACCCTGCATTGTACGAGGCCTCATAGGCTATGTGGGGTTTTAGCTTAAAGATTGATGTAGACTACTTCCTCCGTTCGATGAAAAGTGTATATATAGAATTTTAGAACAAATTATGAAATGGAGTAAAAAAATGTATTGTGATGATGCAAGCCACGATCTCTCTTCTCTTTAATTACCTACATCCAACAAGCTATGTGCATGTAAAAATTAAGAAGATCATGTGTAGAATATTATTAGTCTGGATTATCATGTGATGAGAGCAAAATATTTTTTTACTTTAAAGTGCATTGAGAAGATAAAAGTATACTCTTTTATAAACAAATTTTAAACGCAAACGTACACTCTTCACGGACAGAGGGAGTATGTGAGGATAAATAGTACACCCGGCCCCCACCCCCTCCCCCGCACGCGCGCGTGAAGAAAAAAGATTTTGATGTGATTTATGTTTTTTTAGGGTTGTTTGTATGGCTGTTTTCGAAGTTCTCCGATCATTTCGGCCCCTTCGGGTCAATAGATATGAGTGTGCTATTTAAAGGAAAAACCGTATTTGCTTTTCATTGCATTTTATATTTAAAATTAAAGGACTACATTAAACAAGCATGATCTTTTTTTTAGGGGATAACCAGCAGGATCTTGAAAACGCGCATCATGTTCAGAATAAGATCAAGATCGATCCAGCGCAGCGTGTATAACTAGCGCGTGGTTCACGTGCGCGACAGTCGGAGATCTGCGGCGAGACAGCAGAGAAAACGAGTGGCGCTGGCCGTACCGGCGAAGGACGACGGAAGCCGGGCGGAAACAGAAGCAGCATGGGGCTCGCTCAATAATCACGTGGGGGCCCCACGATGGGATCTGGTTTGGCTTGTTTAATTCGTGCTGGTCAAACACGTGCGATGGGGTGGCGACGGTCCGGTCCACCGTCGTCGTCGCGTCCACGCTGCCACCCTGGCCGCCAGGCACAGCTCCTTCGATCTCTTCTGCATCAAGATGCCTTTTTCACTGGAATATTTTTGTCTAAATATTCCACATGTGTATGTACGGCATTCATTAAGTATCCGCCCTACTGCCTAGATTAGTTTAGGCGTCCCTACCCGTAAATCGGGCGCCGCATTTGAGGATCAGTCCGCAGACACGGATGCGGAAGGCGTTCATACGAAGCTATCCACATACATTTCAAATAAGATTCAAAATAGTGGTCATCCACCGTTTACCGTAGGCACGATATTGGTACACTAGTGGTGCGTCCTTATCATTCCTCTTGTAAAAGTGCGAACCGCAGAAGCACCTCCGGTGTCATTCAATCCAACACATCTTCTTCTGTACGAAATGGGTTCGACCTTTGTTTTCAACTAGGGATCTGGCGTCGGGATGCTTCCTTGGACGCCTAGGACTCTGTGCTTATTCGTCAACGAGCTGGTTTGTTGTTGGTGGTGGGCATGCCGGCGCCGATGCGCATTGATGTGTGGCTGATGGTGTGTTAGGAGCTTGGACGAAGACCTTGTCTCATCCTTGGGCCTGTGACCTTTGATGGTGACGGCTGTGGCCGGTGTTGACCTTCTTAGAGGCATTGTTGCATTGTTTTCGCACCTCTCCCGCAAGGATTCGGTCGCCGCTATTGCTCTCGAAAAAACCCTAGATCTTGTGTGATCAGAACATGATGGCGCATTCGTGTTGCATCCTCCTCGAGGGCTTTGTCTTTGGAGTCGAACATCGGAAAGCAACACCAATAAAGGGCAGTGGTATTGGCGTCAAGGCTTCAATGGCGACAATACTAGAGGTGAGTGATATTGAAGACATGTCAATGGTTGTAGTAGTCGGCTCTTCTGTGACATGTTTGCGGGATTGACTCGGCTTGTTTGTTATTACGAGGTCGAAACTACACTGGTGGGTCCCGGTTGGGCGATAGGTTATCCGTTCAGTGGTCGTCTGCAATGCCAACCTCGCATAGTTTTCCGTCGTAGCTCTTCGTCGGAGTTGGAGCTGCGATGTCCTCGTCGTGGTTGACTCGGTCCTAGCACGGATCTTCATGTGACCCTGCATGGCCTCTATGGTAGGGTTGGGTCCACGATCGTGAAGTCAAAATTGTTTGCTCGGGGATTAGGAATTTTGATAACGCCTGCTTGGGGAGACGTGCTGATGATGACACATGCCTGCTACTTAGGCAAGGCTTTCTCTGGAGAGCGTTGCTACATAGACGGCAACCCTGGACGATTTTCAGACGATTCAGCAGATCAAGCCATTGATGCGTGGAGCAAAACTGACCAACACCGTTCAATCAAATATCGTCCAGCGTTCGTCTAGGCTACTATTGTCCGCGTAGTAGTTTCGTTCTCTGGAAAGGAGTGTGTGAAGTGTCCTATGTGTACCGCCCAGTGAATTGTAATAGCTTTCGTCTGATTTTCTAATAATTTATTAAATAATTATTTTCCGCTTAACTAATGGATGAGAGAAATCTTTTGCCTATGTTTCAAATAAATATACGCATCGAATTTCTCGGCAGGATATGGGTAGAACGCACAAGGGTCTCTCTCTAGCTGGAAGCTTCTGAAGTCGTGGTCGCGACCGAGCAGCGAAAGGCACCAGGCAACTGGCTGGCAACGAGGGTGGACTGATCGATGAAGCTGAAACCACTTGCTAGTCTTCCCTTTCCTGCTGTGCTGGAGCAGATTAATGAGCGCGTCACATCACAAGCACCAGCTGCTGTCCGGCTAACCGCCGAGCTGGACTAATGGACTGGACAGCAAGAACGGTCTCATCGCCAAACGGCGAGCGAGCTTGGAAGGTCCGTTGGACAGCGACCACCCGATCGAGACTGTATATAGTTTATTTCGTGAGCTGATGCGTGAGATTACAACTATGTATGGTCTGGATAGGCTATGTAAACCGTTTAATTGATTACCAGGGACATGATAGATTAAGGGGATCAAATAGGTCCATACATTTACCAATGGTAGCCATGATATCCGCATCTTCAAAAGCGGACTCTCAAACCGCATGCAAACATCGGGACCGTGTGGTCCGGACTCATTCTGTCATCTACTAACACGATACCCCATCAGTCTCGTGGAGCGTTTCAAATGTTGGTTTTTCGCGAAGTGGATGCATATCTAGGGGGCTTTGCAGGCATCCGGGTCACTTCCTTCATTTATTGTATACCCGTCAACCCGACCCGATCAAAAAGGTTTCTTGGCCCCGAGACCAGTGAAAGATTGTGGATGTCGACTAGAGGGGGGGTGAATAGGCGTTTTAAAATAATTATGATTTAGGCTTGAACAAATGCGAAATAAATCTAGCGGTTAATTTGCCAAGCACAAAACCTAAAACAACTAGGCTCACCTATGTGCACCAACAACTTATGCTAAGCAAGATAAACTACTAGGTGATAGTAAGATATATGACAAGAAACAATATGGCTATCACAAAGTAAAGTGCATAAGTAAAGAGCTCGGGTAAGAGATAACCAAGGCACGTGGAGACGACGATGTATCCCGAAGTTCACACCCTTGCGGATGCTAATCTCCGTTTGGAGCGGTGTGGAGGCACAATGCTCCCCCAAAAGCCACTAGGGCCACCGTAATCTCCTCACGCCCTCGCACAATGCAAGATGCCGTGATTCCACTAAGGGACCCTTGAGGGCGGTCACCGAAGCCGTACAAATGGCAACCCTTGGGGGCGGTCACCGAACCCGTACACTTTGGCAACCCTTGGGGGCGGTCACCGGTACCCGTCAAATTGCTCGGGGCGATCTCCACAACCTAATTGGAGACCCCGGCGCTTGCCCGGAGCTTTACACCATAATGATTGAGCTCTGAACACCACCAACCGTGTAGGGCACCAAGGCACCCAAGAGGAACAAGCTCTAGGGTGCCCAAACACCCAAGAGTAATAAGCTTCTCAAACTTCACTTCCTCGTATCACCATGGAGAACTCAAACCGATGCACCAAATGCAATGGCAAGGGCACAGGAGTGTCCAAGTCCTTCTCTCTTAAATCTCACCGGAGCAACTAATGCTAGGGAGAAAAATGAGAGGAAGAACAAGAAGGAGAACACCAAGAACTCCAAGATCTAGATCCAAGGGGTTCCCCTCACATAGAGGAGAAAGTGATTGGTGGAAATGTGGATCTAGATCTCTCTCTCTTTTCCCTCAAAAACTAGTAAGAATCCATGAAGGGATGGAGAGTTAGCAAGCTCAAAGAAGGTCAACAATGGAGGCAAAAACAAGCTCAAGAGATAGGGAACCATTGGGGAAGAAGACCCCCTTAAATAGGTCCCCACGAATCTGCCCGTTATGTACAGAATAACATAGGAGCGGTACAACCTCTATGAGCACCGGTACAACCGGTAATAGGCAATAAGCGGTACAACCGGCCCACAACCGCCCAACAACCACACCACAACAGAGGCCAGTCCGGTGGTAGAGCGGTACATGACCGGTACAACCTCCAGACCAATTCTGGAGTGG